CCAGACAAAGTTGGGTAGGCCCTCAAAGTAACCTTTTGAGAGCGATTTAGTCCCAGCAAGTGGTATTTTAAAAGCCATGATGACCTTCAATTATAGCAATCTGGCGCTCTGGCGCGCGAACATCAATGAGGGCTTAAAAGCACGTGGGAAACAACTGCAATGCTTTATTATTTAAAACAATGTAACACACAAATTTGAAACGGCTACAGATGCGGTGACATGCTTGCATAAAAATTTCGTCAGCTACCACACAACATCGTGGTCAAGCACGTGGATCGGCGTGTAGTACGCAGGGACGACAACACAGGGGCTTTGTTGTACAGCACAGACTTTACCAACACCTATTACCATCCCAACCCTGCGCATCTTAAAATGCAATGATGCTTCGCGTTCTTTAAAGAACATTTTTCCAGACTCCGCACTTTCCACACTCCCCATTTTCCACACTCCGCACTTTCCACACTTCGCATTTTCCACACTCCGCACTTTCCACACTCCGCACTTTCCACACTCTGCATTTTCCACCCTCCGCATTTTCTAAGCTCCGCACTCCGCACTCCGCACTCCACGTATTCCACCGAACCCTGAATCATAGTCAAAAACGCTTTAGGAGGAAGGAGGGATTTCATGAGTTGACCACAGGACAGTTTATAATGAGAGCAAGAAGAAAATAGCGGTCTGCGTCGCTGGTGACCTTTTGTCGCCCGCTGCTTAGGAGTCAACTGCGAGACACCGTACTTATCCGAGCGAACTATACGACATACACAAGAATTAGTGAGACACAAAGCATATTATATGCTCTATATTGTCAAAGTCAACAACCAAGTGTCATTTCAACAAACATCTACAAGATGACATCACCAGACTCAACCCAAGGAACTTGGCGATCGTGCGCGGATGGATTTGGTACCCACATACTCAGGCTGGGAATTTCCGCTCTCCATACAGCTAAAGATTGCGGAGTCCATTTTACAGCCGTGTACAGCATGCTTTAAAAACATAATAATAAATAATTTAGTATATGGACAAACGGAACTGAGGTCCAAATGGTTCAGGACGATGTATGACGGAAACTTCTTGGATCTTGTTGAGTACATGTATTATAGACTATTCAGTCACTGATGAAATATTCTCGTACTTTTCCTTATTAGCAAGGCCTCAATAAATATTTTGACAGACAAACTTCTAACATAAGAGCGCATGAGCTACTCTCCTGAAACGTATAAGCCATATGACTTTTTAAGCGGTTAAGCTGAGTGGGATTTAGGGAGTGAAGAGTTTCAGTCAGAAAAATTCTAAGTACGATTCTATAGGTAGGAGCTCAATGGCTTAACTTAAATTTCTCGAAATTTCCTTGAGAACGGAAAGGAGTTTTAAAATCCTTCTAAATCTCAGTCGATCTTTGCCAGCTATTTGTTTTTTAATCTCAGAAGTCTTTTGCCGTAAGTTTAGAGAGCCCTCTTAACATAATCCTGAAAGTGCCATAGTGACCAATAGCTAATTTCCACTCACAGTGGTAATACATTTTGAAGTAGACATGTTTTGAGAATTCAAGAAGTGATCGATTCAACTCAAAATCATTCCGTGATTCTTGCCATGACCGCTGAGAAAGCAATCCCTTGTACCGGAAATACAGTGCTGCTATCAACACAGTCCTGACTGTTATCTGCAGATTAATATTTTCACAATTGTACAAAATCCTCACTTTTGTGTTTCCTTTTTTCTCCGCCACTCATCCACGAAACCCATTTTAAGTACTTACTTTACACGTGTAGTTATGCCAGGGCGAGCGATTAGCATAATCGCATTTTTCCAGTATTGGCGATTGATTCCCATTTAGAAATCACAACTGACAGCAGATTTGAAAACACAAACAAGCACCGCGTTATCGGTTGACGGACAGTAATCGTCACCGTCTTCACAGGCGTCAAGTTGTACACCGCAAGAAATTTTGTATTTTCACAATGTTTACTCCGTAAGAACCCATTCAAATGGACAGATGTGATTAAAACTTGCCGAAGAGCTTCGGAGTTCCCGCTGTTTTCAGCCCAAACACATCTCACAAAAGAAGACGAGGCGAATTCGTAAACGTTTCGACTGGCTAACTGGTAAGAGCAGGTGTTAATTTGCTTGTGGAGTCCATCTAAAGCAGCAGTCATGTCGCACAATTTGACAACGACTGGTTTCCTGTGGGTCTTGATGTCAGTTTTAAGCGCGCTTTCAGCTTCGGGCGGATATTTTCTACCCTACTGGATAGAAGGAAAATTGTACAACACAACAGTGTACTTGGGTGTGTTTCGCCGCTGTAACTTCTTGGTAAAAAGAGACGATGGACTCTCAGTCCTTGAGCGAGCGTGTGGTCGCTACGCTAGTTTTCAAGACATTCCTTCCGAAGCATGGAAAGCTAGCACTGTAATGATGGGGATCGGCTGTGGAATCTTGCTTCTTGTTGCTTTGACAGCCATATTTTCCTGCTGTTTAAAGGACATTGTCACTAAAACTTCTGCTCGAATTGGAGGAGGGTTTCAATTTTTGGCTGGTAAGTATTCGCCATGGACAGACAGAAATTAAATTAATTTAATTATATAGGTGCCGATGTACTTAAAGAACAATTTCTTCTCTCGAGTTCTACACCTCGTGTGATGGTTTGTTTGCTTAATTAATGGTTTTCTGTTTGGACTTTACAAGTGCCTTCTTATCTGCAACGATGAAATATGATTTATCAAATGACAAGTACAGTATCCCTTTGGAAACGTGTCTTTTGTCTGAAGTTGTAAAACTACACGCGCAATTAACTTCAAATGTTTTCGAAGTTCATCACTCAAGATTTGTGTTAGGTAAACCGTATTAGCCATGGCTTGAAGGGAAGTCATGAAAACAAACTCGCGAACATAGCCTCCTAAACATTTAAAACAGTATTCCTAGCAGATCGGAGTAAAACGAAATTTTGTTTTTCGTTTGCTTTTCTTGCTTCTCCGAAATTCTATTCAAAACTCAGCAAACTATTTATTTTCAGTGAAATCAATTGTGGTTGCATAATGGCCTCGCCGCTAAAGTTCTTTCGGGTAGAAGTCACACACATATTACAAATTCCGGCAAAATTAACAAGGGCTTAACTAACAATGAGATTTATTTTGATCTGATCCCACTTCAAAGAGAAATTTCGAATGCTAACAAAGAATATATCGCTCGAACTAGAAAACACGTAATTTAAATCGTTTGTGAGTCAAGTTATGACAGAAATGCGCAGGTCATTCGCTAACCACAGGAAATTGACCTGAATATCATGTTCAAAAGGAAATGTTTTTGTTTTATAAACAAAGCCTCGTTTTTCCGCCTTTGATATTCAATCTAATAAACACAGGTGCAATTCACCAATAGCGAGCGTTTTCGTGGTTTCGACTAACGAAGATCATGGAACGCATAACCATTATTGACTCATTCGTGATGGAAATAAATGCCATATGTCCAACTTAATACGAAGGGAAGGAAACGATTAGCAAACCTTTCATTTTTAAGAGCCGGCTGTTTAAAAGGTCAAAACACTCGCAAATATTGAATTTTTCTTTTCTCTTCAAAGTAAATTCTGTAAGTTAATTTTAGAAAATTATTATTTTCAAATTGAAAGGCAATTAACTGAATGATCAACCAGAAACAACATTCCAGAAAGCAATTTATAAATCCTTAACATAGCCGAGGTTAAACGAGATTTCTAAATCGAGCTAACGATGTTTATATAAACTTTACCGCTCTTTTCATCACAGTGCCGACACTTGGAGAAGTCTGTAACGTAGTGAAACCTTTATTAAGCAGACACCCTTTTTTAAGCGGACACCAGCTTGAGTCCCTAAATTTTCTTCACACATTCACTGTAAAATAATTCAGAAAAAATAATTAAAATAATTCATTCAGCGGACATCTCTGTTAAGCGGACGCGGACACCAATATTAAGCCATTTTGTTGTACAAAATCTTCAATTAGCGGACACTTTAAGGGCATTTAACCGCTTAAGCCTTGTTCACACTTGAGTGATTAGCATAATGTTAGTGAAATAAGCATGAACGCAAGCACAAGAAAAAGAAACATGTTTCTTTTTCTTGTGCTCATGCTTGTGCTTGTTAGCTCTTATTTCACTAGTCCTACGCTTATCTCACAAGTGTGAACCAGGCTTAAAAGTTCAGCTGAGAATCCCTTAACATTGTTCAGCGATGTTTTAAAGCTAACAGATTATTCCAGATTGATGCATTGACTGTCTGGACATTCTGCAATGAGCAGGCTTTGATCTTACGCTGTTACACTGTGTTACAAAATGGTTAATAATTAACTGTTATTGCACAACATATTAGAACCTGCTTTGAGCGGAGACCCTGTTTTAAGCGGACACTAACGAGAGTTCCAAGGGTGTCCGCTTAATACAGGTTTCACTGTATTAGTTTGTGTCTCAGAATTTTCTTCGCATCGCAAAACCGTTAGCATCATACACAAAACTAACTGTACAGTTGTTTAAGTCGATAATTACACTAAACCACCAAATTCTCTTTACACATTGATGAGAATTACACAACTGATCAACAGCGCACCGTCGTCGGGTATTATTATTATACTATAAACAAATAGGAGTTTATTATTAAAAGTGTGCTAAAACAAAAATGTATGTACGCGCTACAGGCCTACATTCCCACGCGCTATGGCAGAGTTTCAAAGAAGCCGAGGCCTTTCTCTCTCAAATATTAGCCTTGGTACATTATCATTTTAAAGCTATAAAAGCAGCTATAGTGTTTAAATTTTTTATGTAAGCGGCCGGAATTCAAACTGTAGGAGCCTTACCGAACTGGCGAGCTGAGAGAAGTCAGAGAAGTCACTTCATAGACTATAAAAGAAATCGCAACAAATCTATCGACCCCTTCGCCAAACACTGCGTTGGGAAAGTATATACCTTTAATTAATATTGGACAGTAATTCTGTTTCCGAGAGCTGCGCCCGAGCCCCGGGTTTCAGATACTCGACAAAACTCGGCAATGCTATGCTGACGTGACAACTTTCGAAACGGTCGTGCCGTTTTCTGACTGGATGATAAGAATCGGATACTCTTACTAGGACTTGCCGAAAACGATATATATTCACTCGACTGTAGGGCATAAAAAGCAGGCTAAGACAGAGCAAAATGGGGAGCAAACGCCTCGAAAAAAAACAATAACTAATATTTATTTTCTTTTTTATATTTTCCAGGTTTCATTCTTGCCGTATCTTGTGGTATTTATCCCTCAGGCTGGGGTAGTGTTGAATTTAAACAAGCTTGCGGGAACGACGCCAATTTCTACAAGCTTGGACATTGTAAGTTAGGCTGGGCATTCTTTCTGTTCGTGGCAGGGACTGGCTCAGCCTTTATTTGCGCAGCTCTGTCGAGACAAGCAGGAAAACAGAAAAAGATGTTGTATTCACGACCTAACATCGAGAGATCGAACAGTTTTTTGATGTAGCAAGCATCACATCTCTCCGAAGCTTTCTTGTGGAAAACAATGTAAAAAAACCCTACACCCTCACTAGTAGCCATATACGTTGGTATCAATGCAAGATGATATATAGGAATATTCACGAAAGAAGCTCTGACGGGCCGGAAAATGTCCTACTCAGGTTGTTGAAAGTTTTTCTAAGGACTCGTGTCGTCAAACTAAAAGTGTCGTTATCACATCTGACCAATCACGACAAACCCAAATGACAAGTGAACCAATCAACACCGTCAAAGTTAAGAGCTACATTGTAGGTGCAACCCGCGTCAAGCGCGGGAAATTGTACATTTTCGATGCTAGTCGACATAGTTATCACAACGACAACTCTGTAGCTAGCGATATAGCAGAACTATAACACATTCACAGTTGAGTTTTAAACATGTTAATACAATTTTTTTCTGCTTTACAATGAAAACAAGCATCTCAAAATAGAGGGTAACGACGGTCTGACAGCAGTCTGCATGACAGGCTGAAAAGAATACTCAAAAACTTAAGCGCGTTCTTTTTCACTCGTGAGTCAAAAATCTCAGTTTCAGTCCCTCACCCGGCAGTGCTTCAGCTCTGCTAATAGACTGTTATATCCTCCATATTAGGCCTATCCCGATTGTGCTCTTAAAATGCTGGAAAGTTGCTCACTGGAATACCAAAAAGTTGCTAAAAAATTGCCAAAAATCCAAAACGTTGCTGCCTAAATTTCAAAAGTTGCTACCTAAATTTATCGATCATGTTGATTTTTTTATATAATCGTTAATTAAAAGCTTTATTTTTCGTTTTTCACAATAATTGCTAACATCGGTTAAGAAAAATAGCTTGAAACTTAGCTTTTAAGAGTAGCTCGCAAATATAGGTGAAATTTAAGGATACTCTCAAGTCTAACGGACCAAAACACATGGTTAATTTGACGTCTTGCCGAACGATATGAGAGAACTTCAAACTTCAAAAGGTTGATAAACGTTCAAGAAATTCGCATAAATTGAGTTTTTCTATGAAATCGTTGGCTTTTTCATGCTTGATATGTGCTCTAGACCTATATTTTGCTCAAACGTTGCTCAGAAAGGCAAAACTTGCTCGAGGTGGCTAGAACTGTAAAAAGTTGCTGCAAACGCCAAAAGTTGCTCAAAAGTTGCCGAGATCAATCTGGACAGGCCTACTCCGTATCCAGCTGAAGGGAAGAAAAATCAAGAAAGCCCACCACGTGACCTGCAAATAACTGGCTACAACCAATGGTCTGCTCATGCGTAATACCGTCTCAATGTGTTTTGCTGCAAATAATATTCTGCTCATGCGTAATTGTAACCAATCTCTTTGTGAAAAATGGCAGATTGCTTTCCTGAGCTGTCAGAGAGCTAGTGATTTACATATGGAAAATAAAACGACTACTGAACTCGGTTATAGCAAAATATAAATATCGTGATTTGTCAGTGTCTCGCAGATCAATTATTCGCATCAGCATTCGACCTCGGCAAATAATTGATCTCCTGGCCACTGACAAATCACGATATTTTGCTCAACCTCGACCAATAATAATTGTTAATTTTCATGTAGTCATTTCCACGCGGATCCACGCGCGTTAACCCGCGTATCATAAATTCAATCATCCTTTGATACAACCACACGAATAAAAGATCTCCTAAAAGTTTCGAGTATTTTATTCAACTCCAGGTCCAAAAATTACAGATCTAAAACTTAGTTTTTATAATTTTGTCTCACTTGAAATACTGTTTATTCTCTTTGTAACAGTGAGTATACGTTAGGTATTTAAAACTGAAGTCTAGCTCAGTTTTTTTCTCTTTCATCCCCCCCCACCACAATATTACATCATTTTGTTCTGGTAACTGTCTCAGTTATAAATTATTACGGATTCTTGTCTCTCTTTCCTTGGGAGGCACACAAGTTATATTAATTTAGATCCGAACACACGTTTAACCGTTGCGGGAACTACGTACCAGTTGAGAGCGATGAATTGCTATTATAAGCCAGCGTTTTTCCTCCTTGTTGTTGCCAAGCAACATGACGTCAACTCATTGCGTAATGCTGACGTGACAATTTGTCAGAGTGCTCGTGCTATTGGATGATTTGACGCTAAGGATGACGCCTAGTAAAACAGGAATTTATATTTTACCTTCGAATTTCGTAATTTCCTAGATCTGTTCAGTACGCCTATCGGTCTCACAACTTGCTCAAGCTAAAATATGTACCGCCAGCGTTCAATTCCAAATGAAAATACGAAAAATTAGCCACCGTCGTTCACGTTTTCAAAAATACGCAGAACTTGGTCATTTCACGTTGTTGTTTTGTACAAAGATTTATAACGCACGTGCACAACCATTGTTCTATTCATTAAACCTTTTGTTTGTTGGCGTTGTCGTTGCCGTTGCCGTCGTGCTTTGCTTAAGTTGAAGCGCTGAAATGACGTCTTGTAAAAACGGAACTCGGTGCCTCGATCGGAGAGAAGACGCAGAATCGAACTGATCTAATCCCTGAGATCCCATTTCCTGGCCGGTTCCATTGCCAAAAATCTAAACTAATAAAAGATGGCAGCATTTCAAGACTTTCAACCACGAAGTAGTAGTCTAAGCTAGTGAGGGTGTCATCTGTCCTGTCTTGGTACTATAATTCCAGCTTTGTATTACGACTAAACACAAACCCGAAGACCACATCACGAGTGATCTCACAGATTGTATAAAATAGATCATCAGCACAAGGCCAAGAACGATTTTAGAAAGTAAAACTTCATTTTTTTTCTTAAATGTTAAGCAGTATGTTTACTTTTCATGCATAACGTTAATTAAAAATATTGGACATTTCACGCTCAACACTAAAAAGTAGTTACAAAAAGACTCACGATTAAACTCATCAGCACTCACAATGGCTTAAACGACGTCAACTCAGTTTCTACAAACGACTTCATTTGTAATCTCAGCCCTTCTGTTTAACGCACGTGCAAACTGACGGCATTGACACGTGCACACAAAAATCCACTCAAAGGGTAAGTTGCTTCTGCTCACACGTGCACAAGTCATTTCCACGTGCATAACAGAAGCTCGTTACACGAGGAAAGAGTCCTACATGCACGTGTCAAATAGACGTCATTTGCACGTGCAAAATGCACTCCCTTGCACGTGCAAGTAAAACTCCTTTGAATGCAAGTGAAATCAATATCAATTAGTGCAAACAGAAGTCACTTGCACGTGCAATCCTAAAAAACCTTTGGCCGCACGGGAGGGCAGTGCAGTCTCAATGGTCTGGATGATGTTCAATTTCTACCATAATGTCGCCTTCAGCAACTTTATCACCAGCTTGGAAATTTACTGTCTTCACCTAAAAAAAAAAAAAA